TTTTCTTCTCTCTCTCTCTCTCTCTCTCTCTCTCTCTCTCTCTCTCTCTCTCTCTCTCTCTCTCTCTCTTTTGCCTAACAAATGTTTCAATAGGAAGAGTCTTGTGATCGTTCCGGATTACGAATCGAGATCGTGATTTCGTGATACGTCGTCGAGAGAAGCGTGAATTTCACGGAATATTCCTGTCGCAATGACGAGTCGTGCGATGCCTTCGTAAAACGCGGTAGAATATTCGAGGGAAAGCACGATGGAAAGTAGAAATTCGGGGGAGCAATGTTTTCGGCGAGGATCATTCTTCCCGTAAATAGGAACGGTTTCTATACGCGAGCAATTTTATTGGATGAACAAATAGGTGGAGATTTTATTCGAATCGAATAAGTTAACGGTACGGCAGGCAATCTTTCCACGGCGAGGGTTTGTAAGGATTCGCCGCCGACCTTGCTGGTATTTCGTGACGAGAGCAAACGCAGTAGAATAAATGCCACGCAAATACCAAACTGGCTTACGGACTTGTGCGCCAAGCTCGATTATAAATGGCGTGCCAGAATATGCGATAAATCATCCGTCAATTATGGATTGGTTCCTTGAATAATTACGAGAAACCGCGAGATTTATTAGAATCGTGCGATTTCTGAATTATTGAAGAGTAAAGTGTACGGTCGTATTTTTTTTAATTAAAGGAAAAAAAACGTTTTAAAAGTTTCGACAAATAATAATATCTTTGATGGAAAGGATGCAATAAAGGAATAAAGGTGAAGTTAAATTTTTACGCGAACGCGTTAAGTGGCGATAAAAAATTAAAATCCAAATATTTTCTAGTTTCACAAGCGTTCACTTGTCGAAACGAAGCCAGAGTATATAAGCCTTTTTACGTAACGCACAAAGAAAGTTCCTTTTCGCGAGCTACAAATCGGTCAGCTAATTTTAAACGCTTCATCTGTTTAACTTTTGAGGGCAATGATTCGTTTTAAAGTATAAAATCTCATTAAAAAAAGAAAACGGTACGATTATAAGAATTGTAAATATACGATAAATAATAACGGAGTCGAAATCATCGAGAATGTTAATAAACATTCGGTGTTCAGGTGTTCGTATCGATATCGTATTATTGCAAGTGCGTGTTAAGATATTTGACAGAAAACTATACTATCTACAGATTTATTTTACCGACCGAGAAATAGTCGTTACTCATTTGGTAACGTTCTCCGTTAACAACGGTTCACTCCACTTTACCGACCGTATCTACTTAACGTTTCGATCGAAATTATCATATGATGCTTTCGTTCGATAACGTGTAAGATAAGATATAGAAGAATAACGCCAGATGTCATTCGAACATTAACAAATCTATTCGATAACGAGTAACAAATTTAAATTTCGAAAATTGAAGTTATCTTACGAATATATATATAAAGTATATACAAATATTATGCAAATTTCTAGATTTAAAAGCACTCTATATGAAAAAAAGAATGAAATTATTTATATCAACTGATTACAAGCGAGGTCGTGCTAGGAATTTCATTAGAATAATGAAATTTATTTGCACGTGTCGTGTGTCGCGTATATAAATGTAAATCTGCGACGCGTGACAACAAGTGCAATTAGTCATCATAATTGCAAACACGATCGAAAGAAAAACAACGTTACCAGCTGTATGACAGTGCCGTGCCTGTTCTCTCGATTTTTCCAATGAACCGAAAGCGAGTTAACACACAAGAGAACCACAACCCGAAGCATTCGTCGATGGTTCCATGCTTCTCGCTATAACGAGTGTTGTTCGGGCCAAGTAACGGTAAACGCTATATATCGCGTCGCTCTTATACACTGTCCTATTCACAGTGCGCTCACTCTCGAATATATTTTTCTTTTTTCTTGCTCTAAACGACTGTTTATAATTCTTTAGTACGTACACCTCGACCACAATTCCGTAGCCGGTTTGAACGGTATCTTCGAATTCTTAATCTAGAATGATTCATACCGAGACTTTTTCTTTTTCATTTGCGATTCTACTTTTTTTTCTTCTTCTTCTTTCTCTCTCCAAGCCTCCGCATCACACGCAACACGTTGCGACGCTTTAAATGGCCACCAGACATGTAGGCTAGCATTACAAGCGAGCAAACACGCTTAAAAAGTAAACGGCTGAATCGGATAAAGAATAACCCACTTCTTTTAACGCGGAACACGTTCGTGGAAGCGTTTTCCGCGGAGTAGGCGGTCGATTTATATATATATATATATACGGGTAGACCGTAGGGCATTGTTTTAACGGTTTGTCGTGTGTCGCGAGCCAGGGACAATAAAAGCAGGTAGCAGAGATTCGCGATGGTACAGGCGGAAATAATAATAGCGGTGTGCCATGCCGGAGACAACGAGAACGCGGCCGTAAAAGGGACGAGAGAGACACACACTCTTGTCAGCGCTGCGACTTCTTTTACGATTTTATTTCGTTCGCACAAGCGAGAAACACGGATACTTGTCTCTTCCTCTTTCCTGCAATTTCACTTCGTCTTCGTCCTCGTTTAAAAATTCGCGTTAATGGAACGCGAACGATCGAGTCGCGTGCGAAATATCGCATTCGATCTCTTCTACCTTCGAACCTCTCGATTCGTGAAACCTAGCCATTCGTTGGGCGCGCGTTGGATCGATAGAAACGTTTATTCCGAGTCGTTGGCGTCGCACGATGAGAAACATCGAGAAAAGGACGAAAAATCAACGTGATCTCCATCGGTCACCATTCGCCACCTGTTGCCATTCGCCTGAACTTCGCCCACCCCTTAATGCTGATTTACGATTCGGCCATTAGCCAGCCGAGTATCCAATGTTTTTTCCCCTCGAAATCAAGACGAATGGCGGGATTGATGGAGGGAGACAAGCGATGGAAATCTTTAGAGATTAAATGGACTCACCTTAGCCTGATTCTCCTCCTCTTCTTTCCTCTCCTGCTTCTCGTAGCCGAAACGGTTCTGAAAAAAAAAAAAACAGAAGAAATTAAATCGTCTCTAAATTCACAAGGAGAAAATGGCCGCCGATTATAATATCCATCTGTCGAATAACAACGCGGAAAATTTATCAAACTTATCACGATCAAAGTCATTATATCGAACAAACAAAAACGAAAAAAGTAACGGAATCTTATCTAAATATATATACATATACATCGATACCGTGAACATAAATGACGCAACGAATGAAAGTAACTAATAACAACGAGACACGAGAACCTATCTTTGAAACTTTGAGCGGAGAGAAGAGAAGAGAGAGAGAGAGAGAGAGAAAGTTTTCCTCGACTCATGACGAGGCGAGGAGCGCTTCCTTCTTACCGTTGACATCTTGCGAAATTTCGACACGACCGACGTTAAGATCGACACTTTGTCCAACCATTTTCTCAACGATCCCTTCCCTGCCATATTTAAATCGATTTTCGACGGGTCAACGCGCGTTTCATCGCAGTTCTCGAGCTTGGACGAATTGTCGAATAATATTAATGCTCGAAACACGGAAAGATCAAGTTGACAGGCGCGCGTCGCGTACGCGACTAATCTCAACCGAATCGCAAACTGCTACGCGATCACACCGATACTAGGAACGAAAAGTGTTCATCGTTGCTATCTTAGCTCGGCGGTTTCCTGCTGATAACGTTTACCGACACCCTGAAACGCAGAAATGACGCGACAACTAGCAAAAAGAAGACCGAACAACGCGGAATCTAATCCGTTCGTATCGACAAATTTTTCCTTCCTTCCTTTCTTTCTTCTTCTTTTTTCTCTTTTTTTTTTTTCTTTCTTTCTTTTAATTATCTCTTCACTCGTTATCGCTCGAATTGTTTAGACGATGGAGGAAAATTCGTTGGAAACTCGGGTTGGAAGGGAATGATGCAACGGTCGAGAAGGATTGTTCCCAAAGTCTGGATACATTTTTTTGTCGACACTCTTATCTCCGCCGCGATGATTTTACATCGAGATAAAAGCCCTACGAAGAAATTGGTGTCTGTCGACGGACGAGGTCGATGAACGAAGTAAAAGTTCAAAACTTCTCACACCCTTCTTTTTCCTTTCTTTCTTCTTCCTCTTTTCTCTCGGATACAAAAATTCTCATACTCGACAACATCGTCTCGATACTTACGTGAACGGCGCTCGTGGAATCCGACGATGTGGCCGAGACTAGCTGCTGGTTCTGGTTCTCTATCACCGTCTTTATTTGCTCCAGCACCTGCAAATGAACAGCATACACGCTCGCCAATTATACCCGTTTTTAATCGAACATCGCCTCTGTTTTGACCTACATTCTCGAAATTGCAAGCCTTCAATTAACCCTTTGCGCTCCAATGGTGACTTTTTCGGATTGATGCAGCAATTCGAATATTTATTTATGTTTGATTTTTTTTTAAAATATCGCTTCATGAGTGGATTCCTAAGCTCTTCAAGTATAATCTTGTAGAACAGATTTTTATGTTTTGACATTCGTCATCGAAATGATTTCTACTCGTTAAGAAATTGACGGTAGAGAGAGAGAGAGAGAGAGAGAAAATAGTAACGAAAATTGAGATGCTGTAAGTGAAAAGAAAAATAAGAATAATAGACTGTGAGAGCAAGTTATTGGGATAGTTTACTTAAAGATGAATTTTTCGTTATTTCTATTAGTTAAAAAATCGATAATAGAGAGAAGGAAAATGAAAAATAAGAATAATAGACGATAAATGAGAGCATGTTATTGTATTTATTGTTAAAATATCACACAACAATATAGGTTTTTAATACTCAATAAATTATCATTCTTTATATATAAAGAGAGAGATGAGATATTAAAACTTTTATGCGTTAATTTTATGTTATCACGTGAAATCATTTTAAGAAATTCATTGAATTGAGGAAATCGTGTGGAACTGTTGGTTTGCCCGAGCTAGAAAGGAGCGCAAACGGTTAAAAGCAAATATAACGTTTCTTTTCGAATTTTCATATCGTTTTGTTTCGAAAAAGGACGAAAGAGAAAGAAGAGAAATTTACCCGAAGGGATATCCTGTGGCTCTGCACCACGTGCAGATTGTACTCCTTGTGCTCGATCTCGTTGCTCTTCCTCGTTTGCCTCCGCTGCAAAATAAAGGGAGAGAAATGGTGCTTCTCCTCGTGAAAACAATTCCGCCACTTTCCTCGCCTATCAGAACGGAACGCCGCTTTTTCCCTCTCGCGCGAGGAGGAGGATCGATTCTCGACAAGGTTTTCTAAAATCCTCGCCGTGCGTGAAACTTTCGAAAAAAATATTGTTATTCAATTCAACCCCTTTAAATAAGCTCTGCGCGCGAATAAACGGAGGAAATGTAAATAAATAAAGCGAGTGAACAAAGGAAATGTAAATAGATACAGGCGAAACAACGTAAACAAACGAATGGGTGAATGAAAACGGACGATTTATCAATGTATTCCACGTGGAGAGTCTACGAGTCCCGTTCACACCGGGATTCCAGTTAAGTTATTCCACATACATCTGTTTCAACAAAGAATTCTTCGATTCCTTTATGCTTCTGACGAGAAGATCACGAATAATCGTTTCTGAAAGAGATTCTATGATTCACGATGAGATATTTATTTTATTCGTGTCTGTCATTTTGTTTAATTTTAATTGGATCCTGTTCTGCTTTACGTTTATATTAAACTATTAAAATTTCTACCATTTCAAGGATTTTTTGTTAACGTTTAGAGAGAAATTTCTTCCCGAATTTATAACGATTCGTACTCATCTCGCGTCCTTTCTTATCGATCACAACTGGTAGATTTTACTGCTATTTATGCATATATTTTTAGATACACGTTTAGATACTAAAGGTGTCACAAGCTGTAGCTAATAACCAAATTTCCTGCTTCGTTTCATTATTTAAGTTTAAAGATGATAGAATAGTCCTTAATGGCTGTGCATAACATCTTAAGACTGTCTGTATATGTTGAGGTGCTAAATTTAAAATCTCGTGAACGATGTTAATGGATTAGCTATTGAACAAAGAAAAGGATTATAAATCAGCTGGAATTTCAATCGACAAGGATTATTCTGGAAAGGAAGAGAAGTAATACACGCGATCATCGCAAATCGAAACCGCCTGTCTCGATTTTCCGCGCACATTCCGGTTGCCTCATAAATAATTCAACGAGGTGTTTCCACGTTTCGGTACTCGGTTTCGAACGCTCAAGTTCACGGTCGGAAATCCAACGACTCTCCAACCGTCTCCTCTCGAGGATCCTTCTCCTTTCATCGAGAAAGAAAGGAAGAAAGAAAGAACGTGGTTAAATTCGAGGATGAAATCACAGCACGGCGGACGATTTAAAGAAAAGGAAACGGGTTGGAGTCCGCGCGAGACTGCGCGGCGAGGAAATTGGAAGACGAGTCACGAGCCGATCCTGGACATGCGTAATCGCTTTAACTCGATTCACGCGTGCCCAGAATGCCTAGCCGGCCATTTACGCTCATTGGATAATACGAGAACAACGCCTCCTCCGCGCCCTCTGTTTATCATTCTCCGCGGGAATTGCATCAATCACCGTGAATCAAGCACCGTGATGCGATATTGTTTTCCAACTAACCACCGTCATCTCGACCGACAACTGATTTTTTCCATCCCTGATTTCTTTCTTAATCCTTTCGCTATTAAGGGCGACTATAATAACATGCCACTGACTATATGCTATGAGTGACTATAATCGCTCTATACAAAATGCCATCGATATAGGTGCCATCGTGTTATAGGCACTTATAGTCGTTCTGCATAAGATGCCACTGAGATATTATAGGCGACTATAGCTCTCCATAACATAACTGACGTGCTATGGGCGACTATAATCGTTCTATGTAAAATGCCACTGATGTACTATGGCTGACTATAGTATATATAGTCGTTCTTCATAACATGCCATTGACGTGCTATGAATGATTATATGAGTTCTGACGTGTAATAGGTGACTATAATCGCTCTGCATAAGATGCCACTGAGATATTATGGGCGGCTATAATCGTTTTACATAAAATGCTATTGACATGCTATGGGCGACTATAATCGCTCTATGTAACATGCCACAGACGTGCAATGAGCGACTATAGTCGTTCTGCATTATATCGTCACTGACGTACTATGGGCGACTATAATCGGTCTATATAAAATGCCACTGACATGATACGGCCGACTATAATTGTTCTGCATAAGATGCCATTGACGTGCAATGGGCGACTATAATCGCTCTATATAACATGCCACTGACGTGCAATAGGTGACTATAGTTGCTCTGCATAAGATGACACTGACATGCTACGGGTGACTATAATCGTTTTATATAAAATATTATTGACATGCTATAATCGCTCTATATAACATGCCACTGACATGCAATGAGTGACTATAATCGCTCTGCATAAGATGCCACCGAGATATTATGGGCGACTATAATAGTTTTATATAAAATGCCATTGACGTGCTATAGATGATTGTAATTGCTCTATATAAAATGACAGTGACATATTATGAGTGACTATAATCGCTCTCCATAAGATGCCACCGAGATATTATAGGCGACTATAATCGTTTTATAAAATGCTATTGACATGCTACAATCGCTCTATATAACATGCCACTGGCGTGCAATAGGTGACTATAATCGCTTTCCATAAGATGAGACTGAAATACTACAAGCGACTATAGTCAATCTACATAAGATGCCACCGAAATATTATGGGCGACTATAATCGTTTTATATAAAATGCTATTGACGTGCTATAATCGCTCTATATAACATGCCACTGACGTGCAATGGGTGACTATAATCGCTCTGCATAAGATGCCACCGAGATATTATGGACGACTATAATTGTTTTATATAAAATGCTATTGACGTGCTATAGATGATTGTAATTGCTCTATATGAAATGACAGTGACATATTATGGGTGACTATAATCGCTTTGCATAAGATGCCATTGAGATATTATGGGCGACTATAATCGTTTTATATAAAATGCTATTGACATGCTACAATCGCTCTATATAACATGCCACTGACGTGCAATGAGTGACTATAATCGCTCTGCATAAGATGCCACCGAGATATTATGGGCGACTATAATTGTTTTATATAAAATGCTATTGACGTGCTATAGATGATTGTAATTGCTTTATATAAAATGGCAGTGACATATTATGGGCGACTATAATCGTTTTATATAAAATGCTATTGACGTGCTATAATCGCTCTATATAACATGCCACTGACGTGCAATGAGTGACTATAATCGCTCTGCATAAGATGACACTGATATGCTACAGGTGACTATAATCGTTTTATATAAAATGCTATTGACATGCTATAATCGCTCTATATAACATGCCACTGGCGTGCAATAGGTGACTATAATCGCTTTGCATAAGATGAGATTGAAGTACTACAAGCGACTATAGTCAATCTACATAAGATGCCATCGAGATATTATGGGCAACTATAATGCTATTGACGTGCTATGGACGACTATAGTCGCTATATATAAAATGCCATTGATATGTTATGGGTGACTATAATGTGCTACGAGCAACTATAATCATTCTATATACAATGCCACTGACGTACTATGAGCGACTATAATCGTTCTATTTAAAATGCCATTAATGTACTATCGACGACTATAGTCGCTCTGCATAAAATGACACTGACTTGCTACGGGTGACTATAATCGTTAAGCATAATGTGTCACCGAATTATAATACTTTTTAAGGCGACTTTGTATAAGATGTATGAAATTTCTTTTCTCAATAAACACCTGTGGAAGCAACTCGAATTGTGACGATTTTTCTCGAGCACATTTTTGGAGAAGTGGCGAAAGGGTTAACCGTCGTCGATCCACATCTTCGAATTCTACTCTGGGCGAAAATTCGAAAACAATTTTTCTTTTTCCTTTCGTCCACCTCCTCCTCTTCCTCATCCCGATCCCGTGAACGTAAGAATAGAAGAGAAAGGATACGAACCTCGAGGGTGGCCAGGCTTGCCAGGGACGAGAGCGGTCGGGTGTGCGGCACCTCCCCTGGGAACACGCTGTCGTGCGAAACGGACAATTTTCCGGCTCCTCCTCTCAGCTTCACGAACGAATCCTCTATCGAATTCCCCGTCCTTCTGAGGAACACGCTGTTGGAAAAACAAAAGCACGAATGAGAGAGTACGTGTTCTTTTTTTTTTTTTTTTTTTTTACGTAGGCGAGTCTAAATACAGCGACGATCAACGTCTTTTGCGTTGCGAAAGAATCGAAGGGTCGGTCGATCGATCGAGTCGGACACCGAGCGAGGTTGTATGTACGACTCGCAATCGAGTTACGAAAATAAAGGGGGAGTGGTGGGCCGGCGCGATATCGAGTCACGCGTGTGCACACGCATGCGCGGGTTTCGAGCGATATTTCAACAACAAGCCGTGTGGAAAAAGCGAAACTCGATCACGGTCGAATCGGGCCAAGGATAAGTCGATCCTTCTTTCCACGCTCGCTCGCTCGAAACGCGCATTTTGTAAAAGATTATTATCGTCAGCGGAACCACGATCGATATATATATATATCATTTTCGGTGGCGAAAACGAGAAGGAGAAGGCTAAGGATGAAAGGAGAGGGAGTGGTGGGCGAAACGAGTCGAATGTTCTCGACGATATTTATTTTGTTCGAAGGAGCGGCGCGAGGACGATGCTGCACCTTTTCCACGCGGATCGCTCGTTGAAACGGTAACAGTACGATTGCGTTCTTAACCTCTTCGAAGACGTCGCACCGTTACTTTCCAACCAGTGATCGTAGTCGAGTAAAACAAAACTTGATCTTCGGGTTTTTTTTATATAAGGGTTCTTTAATTTTTCTTTTTTTTTACTTGGGATAATTTTGAATTAAAAAAAAAGATTCGTTACTTACAATACTTTCGAAACAATAATTGTCGAATGGAATAAAATATGTGTTCGGGTGTTCTAAGTTAGTCAAGAATAATTTTTAATTTAAAGAATTATGGACTTTAGTTCGAGTTTCTTTTCAGAAACGAAATTTACAATACTTCCGAGCCGTAATTAATTGTCGAGTGAAATGAAACATCATCTTCGAGCTTTTTATTCTTATTATTATATAAACGATTCTGTATCGCATAAACAGTTCCTCGACTCTAATTTTTTTTCAGTTAGAATAAATTTAAATCGGAAAAGCAGCTGCAAGAATCAAGGAATTAACCTTCTTTTTCGAAGCATTAATCAAACATTCTTTTTTTTTTTTTTTTTTTACTTAATAATAATTTAAATAAAGAACAACGTCGTTCCTCCGCCGGTAAAAAAGGATAACACCTGTACGATTCGAAAATTATTTAATAAACTCACCTGTCACGATCGCACGAGTCGGTGAGCAGCTCGCTGGCGCTCCTGCTGCGAGCCTCCTCGGCACGTCCCGCGGGATGTCTGTCGGTGATCTCCTCCCTCGGCACCCGCACGAGCTCGGCCTCTCGATCCGCGTTGGCCCCCAGCCGAACGTCGGCCGCGCCCCGACTCTTACGACGGAAGATCTTCCTGAGGCCCCGAAGCGGGTGGAAGCGCCGCTTCTTCGGCTCTGCCCAACCGAAAAAAACAAACGAAATATCTAACTAAAGCGTAAAATTAAAAAAAACCGCCGCCTGAGAACTTTCTCTCGAACGATTGCGCAACGAACGGTTGTCGTTCACGTTTTCGTAGCCAGTCGTAGTATCAATGGGAAGTGAAAACTCTCAGAGAGAGAGAAAACGAAACGAAGGAACGGCCAATCCGAGTTTCTCTCGAATTAGAAACGAGCCGCTCTTCCGTTTCGTTCTATTTTTTTCCATCCTCTTGGAAAATGGAATTGCGAGAATCGAACACGAGAGAGATAATAAATGAAATTGATAAATACGGATCGTTCTCCACCTGATAACACGCCCCTGATTAAAGGTGAAGAGATTATCGAGGAAAAAAGCTATGGCTAAGTAATAAAGGCTATCGATCGAGAATCGATAATCTGATCTAATCCCTTACTTATGTTTTTACTTAGAATCTTTTTTAAAATTGTCCCCAATCAATTTCAAAAAACGAATGGACGAATCTCGATCCCTGCGTTTCGACGACCCACTTCTACGAATATTCCATATACTTTCATCGAGGAACGAAAGCTCCTCGCTGAAACCCTCCTCTTGGGAATGGAAGAAGAATGGTAGGTGCTGGATAAGCAAATAACACTTCGAGAGAAGGTTGCACTCGTTAACGCACGGATGCCTTTTTAATTGCGGGGAAAAAAGGAAAGGGAGAGGTTGCGAAGAGAGCGCGCTTCGAATCGTCGAAAAGGCAGGGAGCAGGAGTGGTGGAGGATAGCAGCGAATTTAATCGATCGCGATTAAAAACCGCCTATCCCGTGCTCTCGAGACCGAAGAAGCATCGTTTCGGCAAAGGATAGTTGCTTTTTCGCTTCTGACACGCCGCATTCCATCGAAAACCTTCCCTCTGTAACGAGGAACTGGCATACACCGAATCGTTTTTCGAGGAGATCGATCGAAATATCTCCACCGCGTATGGAACGACGCGATTCGCGAGCGAAACGAATGAAAAATGGTGTGTTATTATTTGTAGGCGGTGTCTACGTTACCAAACAGGTCCAGAAAATCCTCATAGTATTGCATCCGAATATTTTGCATTCGTATGTTGTAATTTTACGAGATTTACGGGTTTCGTAAGTCGCGTATGCACGGCCATGCATTTAACTGGCTCGAAGATTTGATAATACGGAACACGATCGATAAGATTAGCGATAACTCTATCAGTTGATATTCCTTATATGGTCGAAATTAACTATAACAACGATATAACGTTTTATTTTTTTTCTTCTTTTTTTTTTTTTTTACATCCGTATTGAACGGATAGATATAGGTACCGAAAGATACTTAACGCTTATCTTTAATTCGTAGGGTTGTGTCCCAGCCAGTTACCCAGCTACCGCGACCAAAGCGTCGAAAAAACGGTTATACTCGGTCGGCAATTTCACTCGGCCGATTATTGCTGCTGCTTCGATCTCGAGCTGTCGCCTCTTTTTCCAACCGTTCGCTTTCACGCGGCCACTCGTTTTAATTTATCTCGAGTTAAAGTTATCGAAAGTTCGTCTCTCTCGAACGCGGATAGTTTCGATGATTGGAAATCCCTATAATTCCTGGTGGAGGTGCGTGGAGAGTAACGCGATACGACGACTCGGCGCTCGAGCAGCGGCCATTCATTTCGCGATTGGCCATGGCCTCGTTTCTCGATTCTTTCTGTAAATATAACCGTGCATGCGTGTTCTTGCACAATACGCCTAACCCCGCCTTTCTTCGCCGCCGAATTTCCGCTCGACTCGAACGTCCCAATTACGGTGGACACAAGTCGTGTGTCCAAGGAAAGGGATATTATCCGTTGAGTTTTATCTCTCGACTCGGTCGATGCGCATTCTCGCACTTTCGACAAAGTCGAACGTGTATCCGTCGTCGAGTCTTCTCTTCGAGAAACACGGCCAATCGCGAAAAAACGTGTACTTGACACTCTGGTGGCGAGTGTGCTTTTCACGCATCAGTTCACCGCGACATCGCTCAACCGTGAAAAATAACCGTCACGCGCCAATCGTTTCGACGCGCGATCTCTCCGTCGGTGGGCAATAAAAACAGCTGTTTCCACTGTTGGCGAGGAGACCGACCCTCCCTTCCCCCCGTCCCGGCAACGGACGTTTACATAACCGCGGCTTGCCTAATTTCGGCTTCGAATCGAGCGGATAGAAGGAAAGAAGAAGGAAAACTCGCGGTCGCAGAGATCTGCTTATCCCGACTTTTTCTCGTAGAACGTTACCCCGAAATTTGATCGTCGTAATTTTTACGTTTATTTCTACGTTCTCGTAGATTCGATACGATCGAAAATTCGACGCCCGTTGTAACACAAAATTCTTTCACAGAGATAGATAAAATTGCGCCAAAGTTTGGTTACCCTCGAACTCGTTTTAAACCCGTTCCACGCACACTTCGGATCCGAAAAAATTCGCTTCGTTTCGAAACGAGTCGTCGGTTCAGATTTTCGCAATTAAGGGAAGCGATTCCTCTCGAAAACGTTTCAGTTTAAGTTTAATCGGTAATCATCCGACCGATTCAGATATATTAGCTTACGAGAGTTAATTTAGCTCCCGAGTGGCTGGTAATTTACCGGAGGCTAATGAAAATAAAGAGGTCGTTGGACCCGCTCGGAAACGCAGCGAGCGACCAAGTCACGTTCCGAGACGAAGACGGACGAGTGTAAAGGGCACTCGGTACTGGATTGCCCTTTAATAACTCGTTGGCGACCATTATTCCCGTTCAACTCGTCGGAGCTCAAACGGAAATCTTACGCCGGAAACTTTCACCTTAATCCCTCACCTCCCCTCCCTTCCCCTTTTACTCTTGCACAAACTTCTCTCCCGTGTTTTTCTAAATCCGCGGCGACTCGCACGCGATCCATCATCCTCGTAATTGCCTCGTTCGAAAAAGAAAAAACTTCTTTTCCCGATTGAAAAAAAAAAAAAATGAACAAGATAATCGTCGATCAAACGTCGTTCCTCGGATAAATTGCGGATAAAATACGAGCCGCGGCGGTTTACGTAAATCCGTTTTTCACCGCGTCTCAGACCTTGAAAATACGTATTCCAAATATATATCCCCTCGTCTAGACGGGATCCAATCCCCGAACCAAATGCAACGAACTTGATCGATACGCGACGACTTGCAAATATTCGACGATCGAGATAGAACAATTACTTCCTCTACTCACCTTTGGGAAGGGGATCGACGCTGTTCTGCGCAGAGTACTCGGCCAGCGTTCGATGATGATGTTGATGATGGTTCTGCGGGGGGGGCGACGCTTCTCTCACGCAGCCCATCAACGTCAGGGCGCCCCCGACCCCTCCTCCACCTCCGCCGCTGCCCCCTCCACCGCCCCCGGTGGCGGTGCTCGCCGACATCCTGCTGCTCTGAAACACCCCGAACAGCCATGTCGCCACGTAAGATTCGGTCACACGTTGGTACCACGCGGTCAGCAACGTGTTCTCCGCCCTTTTCCACCTCTTCCACCCGTCCATCCTACTTCTCTGCGTGCGACCCAAACGATATCGATCTGTGTGCCAGCTGACCTTAGTTCATACCGACCTTGCACAATGCCTCGTTACCATATTTACAAGCTGTCAAAGAGGGGGACCGACCGACCGGTTCCTCTCCTCTCGATATTCCAGCCGAGGAATTTCTTCTCTCTCTCTCTCTCTCTCTGTTCACGCGCTAGATCGATCTCGTTAGATTAATTCGTTGTTGGAACGACGAAGAATGGCCGCCACCAGAATCACTTCTCCTCTCGGACGAGGAACGCGTCCCTTCGCTTCATGGTGCAAGCAAAGTCGTGGAAACACTGGAAAAATCCTCGACACGCACGATGAATTTCGACGGATCTCTCGGCCGAAGGAAGGAAAGAGGCGCCACGCGACGAATTCTCTCTCTCTCTCTCTCTCACTTCAACGACACGAAAACACGAGGAGAGAGAGATAGGGCTTGGCTCCTTTGCTCCGTGCCGCGACGGCTCTGACGATGCGTCTCCGGGGTCTCGCTTTCTCACTGTAGCAATGGGTCAGGAGATGGTCTCCATGGTAACTGGAGGGGTGCAGGAATGGCACGGTATTGTGCATCGATTGCACCCTCGCCGCTCGACCCTGACCTTCGCACAGCTGACGGCCACTTTGGATCCGCGTGCAGGGACGTTGCGTCGGAATTGACGCTGCCGGTTCTCGTTAACCTCGTCGTCACCCCTTTTTTTCTTTTGCATCAAATGTTTCTTGCCAGCTTTTTTTCACCGAGATTGGATGCGTTTCGATAACTCTTTATTCCTTTATCGAAGAAAGAAGACATTGAACAATCGTTTTCGAATTGTTGTTTCCCTTCTTTTTTTTGGAACGTTCGGTGAATCTCTTGGCTTACTTAAAATGAAGTTCGAAATTAACGTGTAAAACTTTCGTTCTTTTAATATTTTGGGTAGAAAGGAAGAAAATTTGTCGAATCAATATTGTTGTTATTTTGATATTTTAAGTAATGAAGATGCGTCTTGTATTCATTCTCTATTATTCTTGTTCTTCATCTTCTTATTTTTCTTCTCTTTATTTGTTGAAGAGTAAATAATTATTGAATAATGGAAAATCAAACTTCGAACTAACTAATTTCGTTCCATCGAAAATTTTGAAAGTAATATTCAAGTTCGATCGAATTTAAAATCGAGAAAAAATTTCAATTCAAATGAAATTGACGGGCGATTTTTCAGAACTATCTTCAATTAAAAATTAATATTATTTTAATTCACTTTAAATCCTCTTTCAAATTAAATATTATAATAAATTATCCAAAATTATTGAAACTCGTTTCAACCTTAATAATAAATATACTGCATTTTGAATTTATATTTATTAATAAAATATCATTGATCATAAATTTATTTAAACTATTTAAACAACAATGCACAGATTTATTAATTCAAGTATTTCTTATCGTGGATTAATTTTAATTTTCATCGATGTACCGTTCGAAATCACGCGAGGAGAAACGCGTGCAAAAGTTAATCGAATTGGGTTCGCTGTAACCAACTGTGTCGACTGGTTCTCGTCACTCGATATCACCCTCTGCTCGCCAAAGTTAACCCAAAGTTGAAGCAAAGACGTTTCTCTGTTTCAACAGCCAGAGAGAGGAAGAAAGTTTACTTTGACGTTCGCTCTTTTAATTAACCAGCCGGTCACGCGTTATCTTTTCTCGAACAAGGCGAAACTCGCCCGCTCATCCGCCATCAAAGAAATCTTCCTTATTAATTTTTCTTATCGAAACCCTTTCCCCTCGAGAGGCGAGTCTCGTCGGATTCCGATTCGAATGGCGAATAAAATTGACACGTTTTTAATCGTGAGTATATATTTTTAATTAAAAAAAAAAAAAAACTGTAATTTTCTTCTGCATAATTTTCATTTCATTATCGAGTTACACGTTTTATTTTTCTTTTATTATACTTTTTACGCATTTGTAATTATATCTATTGACTGGTTGTGCAATGGTGAACGATAAATAAAATAAATAAAGTATACGGATTTAGCCGTATGAATATAATTTTTATAACTTGAATGGGCGTATCTGTTTACAAAATATCTGAAGATAAACAAAAGATAAACAATTATGAAACAGTGAGTGCTGGCAACGTTATTTATAATAAAATTATAAATAAAATTTCAGTGAACTTTATACTATATAACAATATCCTTACAAATTGCAATAAAAAGTTGTTATACTGTTTTCTAAAAACAGTTTTCTAAAAAAATAAAATATAAAAGATCAAAATCGAAGATTCGTTATCTTTGATTAATAAGGGTAGAGGTATTGATTTGATAAACAGCCAGCTCAGATCTTTATTACTCCTTCGTTAAGAGACGTAAGAAAATTACTTTGCGTTCCAAAACTCATCCTCGTCGATATATATATATATATATATATATATATATATATATATATATATA